GCTCTGGACCCAAAAAGTAGGGTAACGCATTCACAACCAATGTCTTATGGGAAATCGACCACCAAATCCCAAGCAATCGATTGCTTTAATATGATGCCAAGTGTCAAACTTTTATCTAATTCCAGTAGCTCCTGAAGTAAAATGTTTTCAAATCCACAAGCCTGTTTGGTCTATTATTTGATGCAATTAGCCAAGCTCAGGTAAGAAAAGTGGACAATCACACGGCTGTAAAGCTAGTAATTAAAGTTTTGTCAAATTGAGCATGCAGCTGGTTAATGAGTAAGCAGTACGTAGATGCGATCACTTGCGCATAGTTTTACCCCCGAAAAGGCAAGTTCCAATTAACTTTCTGAAAAAACTGAACAGACCTTTGCCTTTGGTAATAATTAGTTTTCAATAGATAGCTTTAGTCTGCTATAAACAAGGTGCAAGTTCGCAAAAGCATTTAAGCTTCTATTTACTTGATGTGAAAGCACGATTTTTGTAAATCACCAAGTACTCGGGGCATACAATACTCTAAGTGCTATTAACCTATTCATAAAATGATAATGAATCTAACTTTGTATTGAACATCATGATATGCTCCCTCATTTCGCACTTGCGCTATGGGCCAGTAGCATCACTGTTTTTTTCATCCATTTGGGATACTCAATTCAAGAGACATACCAAAATGAGTCCCGACAGAATAAAGTATTAACAAACTAGGATGTAATGTAATACGATAGTGGTTTATCCCTCGGTTCTGGTGAGGCGCCACTTTTGTACTTCGAATTAGCCCTCTTGTACCCCGCTGGGTGGGCTGGCCTTTTGGCCCATGCCAATAGCCCAGACACCTTCTCCGTGCTGAATACATATATTCTGCCCGAGTATTTTGTCTTCTTTCGTCTTCAGGGAGTCTCGGGACGCTACAGTAACGGCGCGAGTGTTAAAAATGTGAGGCTCTTAGAAGCCGCCGGTTACGCAGGAAATCTGGGTTGAGATCAATGTAGGTTATTAAGATGGAATAGCTGAAAACGGCGGTAAATGCATCCTTTTCTAGCTAACTGCAAATCAGAAGATATCGAGTTGCTACTATTTCAAGTAAGGAGTTCAATATCCGATAAATGAATAAAAAGCTTCAGCAACTAATCCTCATCTTACCTGACCAGCACACCAATACCAAGGAAGGCGGGTGTTTGACCAGGAATATAGCCAAGCCAAGGCATTGTAGGGTCGGTTACTTCGCGCAGCATCACAAAAGTGCTACGAGAGGGCAACGCATGTTTCAGATCAACGGAGGTGTTAGGCGAGGTGTGTGGTGACTCTTACAGCCTAATCGGTCCAAAACATGTATCAGTGATATTTACAATAGAAAATCTAGTGGGTGTAGCAGTTGATAGGGGCAGCGTTCCTTGAATTATAGGCAGTTTACTTTACTTTACTGCTGTGTCTCAGTCCACGCAATGCCTCCCATGCAGGGTTGCATCTCCTCTCACACCAAATGAAACTGACATGAGTACAGACAAGGCAGAAGGGAGAGGTCATTCGAATGGACAGCAACTTATGGTACTTGCAAGCATGCAATGTCCATTCTGTCTGTGGCACATTTCATCCACAAATCGTCACTAAGGTGAGTAATGCCTCATTCCAATTTCCATTTCCATATCTAAATTAATTGTGTCTGTTTCTGTTTCTCAGGTCTTGTTTTTG